AGTCATTCCATCACTATTTCGAATGTTAATATCTGGGTCTTTACACAGTAAGAGTTCAACAACCTGGTGATGTCCATTAAAACTAGCAGCCATCAAAGCATTTGATCCTTTATTATTTTGAATATTAATATCTGGATCTTTACTCAGTAAGAATTGAACAGTCAAGATATCTCCTCTTCTGCTAGCAATCATGAGGTCATTGTTACCATTTTCCATAGGTAAAATAATGTCAAGTTCCAGCAAGAAAAACACTAAACTTTCATTGTTACTTTGATGTGCCTCCTTCAGTGCAGCCTCAAAAGTAAATGACTTATTTTCATCTTCCATCATTATAGGAATATCATCAATCATAACCTCAAATACACCAATTACATATAGAGGAGCACTTTGTTCAAAAACTACTTCAATTGATGTCTGACTGTTTAGTTGAGGTATTAGATACACACATGTAAGGTCGGAGGGATTATTATGTACTTCTTGAAGCGTTAGAAAGGATGAAATAGGTAATAAGTAAAAATTTTCCATTTTATTTAATTCAGCAATTGTCCTAGAGCACCATGGCTTGTTCAATTTTAATATCATTTTTGAACAGCCAACACCACCAGGACAAGGCATTCCTTTGGTCATCATTGCAAGCTCCAATAGGCTAGTGGTATCTTTGAACATCTTCAGGTTAGTATTGTATTCTTCTACCTGTTCCTTGATAGGTTCTGTGATAGTACATGGTATTGTGAGAAGGTTAATGTTTAAACATGAGTAATGAGGCTGGAGCAACTGAACAAGTTGATGAGCATTTTCACAAGTAGCATCTTCTTTGATATATGATTGAAACTTTTGTTTTGCTTCTGTTACCAAGGCTTTACTGGTTAAAATATTGGTGGCTACATCAAGAAAACTACTGTCTAATGCATGAAAACAACCTTGCAGTCGTTGAAATTTTTCTTTTATTTTATTTTTAATGACATGCATGAATGGTTCATAAAAATGACTACTCACTCCTCTTTCTTTAACAGCCATTTCCAACATCTCTTCAACAGAAGTGTCATCTCGTGGTATAATTTTTTCTCCTCCAACTGATTTGTATATATGTTGAGAGAGAGCAATACATGCTAAACGGTTTAATCCAATGTATCCTTTATTGGCTGGTAGTTGTACAAATGGATTAGCACCATTTTGTAGTAACAATTCAATGGTTTTGATATGTCCACCTTGGCTAGCTAACATTAATGCAGTCTGGCCCTTTGTGTTTTTATAATTTAGTTTTGTTTTAAGTTCTATCAGAAGTAATGATATTCTGTGATATTCTAGATTACTGTCGATACTTGCAATGGACAGTAGAAGCGATTCTTCAAATGTGAAGCTAATATCCTCCTCTCTGTCAATGATAGTTTGATTGTCAATGATCAGTTGAAATATACCAAGAAGATGAACAAAGTGAATTTTAGCCTGTGATTTCATAATGAGAGGCTGAACTGATCTATTGGAAAATACCAAAAATTGTATAGAAATTGATCCTCGAGAAATTTTCTTTACTGTAACATATTTTGCTTCTTCATTAAATAAATAGTCCACTAGCTTACGAACATGGCCAATAGTTTGTTCATTCCATCTTCCAGACAGCTTGAGAATTATTTTAGGATCAACTTTGGTACTTTCCCCAATAATTCCTGCTTCAATAGTTTTAATAATATTATTGAGTTCTGCTGAGTTAATAAAATTATCAATGCCATCAGCATATTCATCAAACCTAGCTTGTAATGCAGAGTCATCAATTGGGAAAACGTTTACAAGCTCAGTTATCTTTTCGATATCAATGAAACTATGATGAGGTCGTATTTGCTTGAATATTTCATCAACTGTCACACCATCATGTGCTAAATCTAAATCAGTTTCATCATCATAATAATTTTCGACCCATCGAGCAATAACAATTGCATCGTGTTTTCCACTGGAGGCATAATACGTAGTAATATCAGTCATCAGCTTTGCATACTTCTTGTGCAGATTTCTAAGTTCAACTGCTACTCTATCAGTAAAGCCAAGTTGTACTTCTAATTGTGGAGTATATGCTGTGGCTGTCTTAGTAAAAGTAGAGAACAATACTTGATGGTCTTTAAATACTTCATTCTCCCAATCTCTAGCTAGTGCAATGGCCTCCTCTTGAGCTGGACCTCCTGCAGTTGATAGACATTCTATAAAAAGGGAACACACCTCCATCATCTTCTTTGCATCTCCTTTGTACAATGAAACCATTGCCGAGAAATCTATTTCAATTTTGTCAAAAGTTGGTGAATGCCTAACTTCTTTATTGATCAAATTTTTGCTATACAACTCAGTGGCTACTTTTGGAAGACAAGTTTCAGTAGTTTCCATTAATTTGGAGTAA